AAAAAAACATTTTTTAGGCGCTTTTCAGAGTTTAAGATCTAATAACAGCGATAAAGGTCACATTCCAAACATTCCGTTTTTGACTATCTCACGTAATAATTAGAAATAAAAACCATGAACATATTAGGTATATAACAGGCAATCATTAACCTATGAATTTGGATTTGATAAACCTCCTTACCTGAGGGTTTATTCTATATGAATAGGCCCAGATGTAGAATTTACTTTTCATCGTCTACTAACTTTGCTGACTAAACGCGCGTAGAGGGACAGTGTTTCTGTTATGGTGCGAAAAAAGGGTTTTCTTTATGTACATTTCACGACAGAAATGTCAAAGAAACGGTATTAAAACAGAGCAACAAGAGAAACATGTATTCCTGCAACTAAAGACAATTAACCCAAGACGTGCACAAGAAAATGCCATAAAATGTACAGAAGACGTCGAAGAAGTTCATCGTTGATTCAAACCCATATGATACCTCGTTAAAACAGAGCAACCGGGAATCATTTAAACGAAATCAATCCACTGCCTGCACAAGAAAATGTGAAGACGACGTCGAAGATGTTGGCAGTGAATTCGAAAAAGATTTGGATTAATTCCTAATTTTCAGCAACCCGGTAAAAAAAGTTGAAAACATGTTTGGAAAAATAACAGACCAGGACATGGAATAAGTAGACAAGTAATGAAACAAAACTTTTATTTGAAGTTTCATGATTCCTGAACAAACAAGACGAACAAGAAAGATGCTGGTGGTCAGAAGTATATATGTATGGCTCTTTAACTGAAATAACGTTCCCTGCAAGTAGCCGTCGATTGATATCTCTCGAATACTTTTATCATCAACACTGGTGTCTCCAACTATATTTTTATTGTATATCAACGACTTATTGGAAAACCCCAAGAATTCAATATATTGCTTTGCTGACGACAGCACCCTTGTCTCGACATTCCATTTGGATTCCAGAACATCGGCTGTGGATGCACATATATATACAGGGTCACCATTAAAGTGTGCACCATATGGGAAACTTTCTTTTCAAAAAGTTTCAATGAAGTTTAACTTCGGCACTTGTTTGTGCTTTAAATTTAACTTAAAATGATGCGGCCAACTGCGACCCACTGACGTTCAGTGTTTGTCAAATTCAACTTTAT